ATATACTGAGGTTGTCATTATACTGAGGTTGTCATTATACTGAGTTTGTCAATATACTGAGGTTGTCATTATCTGAGGTTGTCATTATAGTTAGGTTGTCATCATACTTAGGTTGTCAATATACTGAGGGTCTTGTTATTAAGATGGTCATAAGTTGCCATTGTATGGAGGGTGTCATTATACTGATGGTGTCTTTATTCTGAGAGTGTCATTATACTGGAATTGTCATTATACTGAGATTGTGCAAGCTGTTGTCTGAGGCTGTCATTATACTGAGGGTCTTGTTATTAAGATGGTCATAAGTTGCCATTGTATGGAGGGTGTCATTATACTTATGGTGTCGTTATACTGAGGTTGTCATTATACTGAGGGTGTCATTATACTGGAATTGTCATTATACTGAGATTGTGCGAGCTGTTGTCTGAGGCTGTCATTATACTGAGGGTCTTCTTACTAAGATGGTCCAAAGTTGCCATTGTACTGAGGTTGTCATTATACTGAGGGTGTCATTATAGTGTGTGTATTATACTGCATGTGTAGGATTATACTGAGTTTTTACTGTATACATTCATCTTATGGAGGGAAGTTTGGGTATGTTAGTTTGCTATCTGAAAGAAGCAAATGGTTCCCACATGTTTTTGTTTAATCAAGCTGGCTTTTTGTTTATACACATTGATAAAGAAATCCGTTCACAACTACAGTTCACCAGTATTTCTACACTAAAGAATCTATGTCTGAATTTGTGATAAAAATAGATCCAATTGATATAGATATGACCAGATAGAACCGTTTCATTTTGAGAATACATTTATATCTATTAAACCACTTAATGGTACTAGATTTGAATTACATTTTATTCTATGTTTTATTGTAGAAACATTCCTTTCTATTCTGTATCTATTAGGACAGGTCCCCGTGGTCATGGTATAATGCTGCAGGATTTTATAGGTTAGAACTTGACAAGAGGACTATACCTTTCCTGTATTCTGTAAGCCCAGTTGACTAGGTACCTCTTCTGTACTTTTACTTGAAGTCTTTGGCATCAGTGTCACCTTTAGCTAATTGTGACAACTTTCCCTCCCTTCTGGTAAAGTTGAAAATTTTGTTTTAACATTGTGGGTTGACTAATAATAACTTTGTTCACGGGCTGCGTACAACTTTTCTTTTGACTCTGGGTCTATTTCATGTCTTGATGTTCTCCAATGTAATATTTTGTGATTTTGGAGAGATGCTTGATAATTTTGATCTCACATGGCCTAACGTGGTCATCCATGCATGTTGTCCATCATCCTTCATCTGTTGTCTATCATTTATCCATCCATCTGGCGTCATCTTTTCCATTTTTAACATCTTTGACTGGCTAGTTTGTTGCTTGTATGAAGCCTGACAAAGTTTGTGGAAGAAAAGACCTTGACTCATATTCAAGGTCATAGAAGTCTACTTTGTCAAAACATTTAAACGGCTTCTTCTGACCAACTGAAAGATCCTGAAGAATGCTACTTGCCTGATAAGTTCCTAGTGTAAATCATGACAAGGTTTGCGAAAAGAAATTACCTTGACCTATATTCAAGGTCATAGGTTAAATTTCGTTGAAACCTTCGAATGACTTCTACTGATACCCAGAAGCATTATATTTGGCAAGTAAGTCTCTCAGATGGAACCTGACAAAATGTACAAGCAATGATCTTGAACCATACTCATGTTCACACATCAAAACCTGTTAAAGATTTCTTCTGGTAAACCAAAAGATAGAGACACAGAATATCTGGTTGAATGATGCTTCTAGGTTGAAGTCTGACAAATTTTGAGAAATGGAAAGTAAAAAGAAATGACAGTTATTTTTAATGCTGGTCCTAACTGTCACTGTTTAGAGCTGAGTGTTAAAAGATTAAGTTTGTTTTGGAAGTTGGTTAGAATTGATTGAATTTGCCCACTTAAATTTCAATGCCTATGGTGTGTATGCTAATGCTTTGATGAACCTTGAATACCACATGAACGGTACATGCCCATGAGGCCTCTTGTTCTTTTTACAACATTATCTGTGACTTGTGTGTTACCAAGTACATGTAAAATTATGGTAAGCTTTGTTTCAATCCTAAGGAAAGCTGGCCTATCCCACTAAAACTAAATAAATCCATACGCCGTGAAACGTTGGGTCTGTCAGCCAACTGTAATCTAAACCCAATTTTTATCCTTGTCTTGCTTTCATCATTGTCACAAAGATCAACCAGAAAGCTTATTGCTTGGTGTGAAGGTCATTTAGTGTACAACCCTCTGCCAGTCAAACAATCAATTTACTTTTACATTTTACATTGACTGAAATAATTGGAAATTGTTTTTCTCTAGGTTTCAAATTTTCATTCCTAATTTTAAGGTAACGTGCCAACCTTGTGACGTACACAACAATCTAAAGTGTGTTGAACATTAAGTGTGTCCTAGTTTTGTACCTGAAAGTTATAATTTGCTCATGAAATGTAAAAGTGACCTTTGGTTGTGACCTTGAGAACTTTGAGAACTGCTGTAACTTTTCCTTAATTCTATTCAGTGGTGGTTTGAAATGTGTTTAAAGAAAGTGTCTGTTTTATTGGATAAACATACCGTTTTCAAGATTACTTGAGTTATATTTTTCAGGTATAAATTGCAACAAAACTGCAAATATTGATACAGGCCTAGGAAAGTTTATTCCATTATCCTCAGAAAGCAAAATAAGAACATTAGGTTTGTCCATTGCAAACAAACAACTCTCGGTCCAACGGAGAAAAAAATTGACTCATGTCTGAATTTATTCATGAATAGAGGATCAGACAAAGATGTGTGACCTTGCATCTGGTCAACACCAGCTTATTGTACTACAGAGTAACACCTTCTCTATACAGTCGAATTCCGTGAATTCAAACAGCATGATTATCCCAAGATTTAACAGATTTTCGTTACATATTTCTTTATACATTTCAAAACATTAAACAGGTGTTTCTGAACTCCTATGAGCTGCTGTTGAACAATACCATGATTTTTTTTCCCATCATTTTTGTATTTTATACCTCTGCGCTAAATTTGTCATGTGATAGTGGAAATGAATGAACAAAGAAATTTTAGAAACTTATTTGTTTAATTGTATGAAATATTGTCACTATATATGGTTTGATAGTTGATATTACATAAAAAAATGAATGGATATAGTTATAATTGATGTTAGAGACAAGCAAATGCTTTTAGCTTACAACTCATTAGAGTAGCTACAATATTGTGTGAAGTGGTTTGATGGATTCAAAAGAACAGACCAGTATGAGAATAGAGAACTGAACAAACTACACACCCACAACAGGTGGTAGTGAAGTGCAGTGCTTTGGATTATTGTGACTTCAACCAGAGAGAAAAATTTGGACAGTTATGGCCTCCCACATAAATACTGTATAGGACCGGCTGAAGTGCTGACGAGGGAGGACATGTTGCAAGCCAAAAGTCCTTATATGTTTATGATGGGGAGTGCACTTTGAAACAATCGACATCTGGTACAACTGTGTGGTGTCGACTTCAGTTGTGGTGAAATTATTATCACGTGTCTTATCTTGATAACATCAGATGAATCAAATAGATTATTGTTAATGTTGCTGATATACAACTTGACTTTTACTGTTTTTCATTACCAAAATATGTCCAGAGTTTTGTCATGTATGATCATCCTGTTCTCATGTATCCTAATGAGAGGTCTTTTATTGAGAAAGAAATATTTCAAATTTCTTCAGGACATTAATGTTTACACATCAAGACACAATGGTGTACTCAATGTTGTATGCACATTAAGACACAATTTTGTATTTGCATTAAAACACAATGATGACTCAATTACGTATTGACATTAAGACACAATGATGTTTACACATTAAGACACAATGATGTATTCACATTAAGACACAATGATGCATTCACATTAAGACACAATGATGCATTCACATTAAGACACAATGATGCATTCACATTAAGACACAATGATGCATTCACATTAAGACACAATGATGCATTCACATTAAGACACAATGATGCATTCACATTAAGACACAATGATGCATTCACATTAAGACACAATGATGTATTCACATTAAGACACAATTATGTATTCACATTAAGACACAATGATGTATTCACATTAAGACACAATGATGTATTCACATTAAGACACAATGATGTATTCACAATAAGACACAATGTTATATGACACAATGATGTAGTTACATTAAGACACAATGATGTATTCACATTAAGACACAATGATGCATTCACATTAAGACACAATGATGCATTCACATTAAGACACAATGATGCATTCACATTAAGACACAATGATGCATTCACATTAAGACACAATGATGCATTCACATTAAGACACAATGATGCATTCACATTAAGACACAATGATGTATTCACATTAAGACACAATGTTGTATTTGCATTAAGACACAATGATGTATTCACATTAAGACACAATGATGTATTCACATTAAGACACAATGATGTATTCACATTAAGACACAATGATAATTGTATAAACTTTGATACCTATACTTACAATGAGAACTTTATATGAAGACAAAGGGACATTTTTTTTACATTGTAGGACACAAATATTATAAACTTTATTTATTGGATTATCTCACAATAATATGATATGTTGCATGTGTACTTGGCTGTATTTACTTAAAATGTTTATTTTGTTGTGATGAATTATAAGTATTCTGAACATATCTTTATGAATGATTAAAATGTCAGTATGCTGAAGCTGAGTTCATGTTTGATGCTACTAGTGGTACAAAAATTTTGCCATAATTTTGCTGATTTTGAAAAAAAAAGAAAAAGGGGAAAATTTTTTTTTAAAAAAAAGCACCTCTAATGAGTATATGTCAAGACAATGGATGAAAATGTTTGAAAAAATTCCATTATCTTAATTGATTGATATCATTTTCATCATCATTTAAAGGGACATACTTACTGCTTTGTTACAGGTGCTCACTCCAAAGTTTCCTGTGGTAGTGAAATTAGGTCACGCTCACTCAGGTGTTGGAAAAGTAAGTACATGTACACTATTTATGTCTCTGCAGATTAATCTTTGAATATTTGTTTCTCTAAATATTTGTTTCGTACTGATCAAACATAAAGTAAATGTTGTATTTTATTAAATGCATAGAAATAAAAGGATCTAAAATTGATAAACTCTGTCTAAAAATGAAATAACAACTTTCTTCTTATCATGGTTGACTATGCCACTAGAGCTAACCTTAGATACACAGTCTTGGTTAACTACTTTGAGTTACACATTGTTGTGGTAAGGTACTTCGAGTTACAGAAAGTTAGGTAAGCTTCTTCAAGTTACAAAAAGTTGCGGTAAGCTACTTTGTGATACACATTGTTGCGGTTAACTACTTTGAGTTACACATTGTCGTGGTTAACTACTTTGAGTCACACATTGTCGTGGTTAACTACTTTGAGTCACACATTGTCGTGGTTAACTACTTTGAGTTACACATTGTTATGGTTAACTACTTTGAGTTACAAAAAGTTGCGGTAAGCCACTTTGAGTTACACATTGTTACAATTAACTACTCTGAGTTACACATTTTCGTGGTAAGCCACTTTGAGTTACACATTGTTACGGTTAACTACTTTGAGGTACACATTGTCGCAGTAAGATTCTTTGAGTTACACATTGTCATGATAACCTACTTTGAGTTACACATTGTTGCAGTTAACTATTTTGAGTTACACATTGTCGTGGTAAGCCACTTTGAGTTACACATTGTCGTGGTAAGTTACTTTGAGTCACACATTGTCGCGGTAAACTACTTTGAGTTACACATTGTCGGGGTTAACTAATTTGAGTTACAAAAAGTTGTGGTAAGCTACTCTGAGTTACACATTGTCGCAGTTAGCTACTCTGAGTTACACATTGTCGCAGTTAGCTACTCTGAGTTACACATTGTCACAGGGAGCTACTTTGAGTTACACATTGTTGCAGTTAACTACTCTGAGTTACACATTGTCACAGGGAGCTACTTTGATTTACTGTACATGTTATTGCGATGAGCTACATTGAGTTCCATCTTGTCGCGGTTTGCAACTTAAAACAGGAGTTACATGTTGTCGTGGTAAGCTACTTTGAGTTACACATTGTCTAGTAAGCTACTTTAAGTTACATATTGTTGTGGTAAACTATGTTGAATAACACATTGTCATGATTCACAATTGTGATTGCTTACTCATATTGTTGCTGTATTCAAATCTAACAATCTTATCATTTTCAAAATTGAACATAATTTAATGATAATGATAAAGCTGCAGTATCACTGTAGGATTTTGGTAAATATTTCAATGCATATTATTATTGATAACCAATTTCTGTATTTGTAGAGTTTTAGTAAATAAAGTGTACACATTTCCATAAAAGTTGGTGAATCAAATCAATTTAGTAAACAGATTGTCAGCATAATTCAGAGAAAAATGTACAATGGAGGATAATTCGTCTTCATAAAAAAACAAACCCTGTTGGAATTAGGAGTCAGGGGTCGGAGGTCAAGATCACTGAGGGTCCTTTATCAGAATGTGTGGTCAGTATGATTTTCAAGGGGGGAAACACATGTCATTAAGAAGACTTGCATTAGAAATACACTTCTTTCCCTTAACGAAAGAAAAAAATTTGTACAGAGTCAGAGATCAAAAGTCAGGCTTGCTTTGTATTCAATATTTAAATTTTGGGGTCAGCATATTTCAGTGGCATTCTTCTCTCCCATAGAAAAGAATGAATATTATTGATTCCTTTTGATAAGAGTCAAAGTTCAAGGTCAAAGTGTTTCAAATCACAGCACAGATCTAAAATCATAATGTGCCCTGTCATACTTCTGTTATTTACACAGTATTTTGTTAAAGGATTTGTAGATATTTCCTGTGTAAGAGGAGTTTGAAGCCAGTTTATTGAAGACCAGCAGATTTCTACATTTTTTTTTTCGGCAATTGGTGACCATTGAGTGATATATTCTACAACTGATTTATGACTTAACTTGTTTGTTTTTGTGTTACTTTTGTTTGTAACCATCACAGGTGAAGGTAGAAAATAATGAATTGTTCCATGAAATAGCGGGAGTAGTTTCACTCACCCGCCAGTATGCTTCATCAGAGGCCTTCATAGATAGCCGATACGACCTGCATTTGCAGAAAATTGGAAATAATTATAGGGCTTTTATGTGAGTTCTACCCTCGTCCCCAACCCAACTGCATGTTTATATATTGTGAGCTGGTGTACTAGAGATATTTGTACGTTAGTCGTTAGTCGTAGATATTTGTCTATTTATAAAAGTCTGTGGTATCTGTGTATGTCATTTTAAATCCTTGAAAGTAAACGTCTCAAGAATTCAGTGTAGCAAAATAGACATTTTGTAGCTGGACCATCAGGAAAATGTCCAAACCAGTGTCAAGGTCAAAAGATCAGGTCTGAACCAGGAAATACAAGCAGCACACTGTTTTTTTTTTTATAATTTCTGTTTTAGTATGTTGATTTGAAATAAGTCAAAAGTTGGTGTTTAGAGCAAATTTTCCTTTCTGATTTTCATTGCTGAATGCTTAAATCATCCAATTCATTTTGAGTTAAAAACAATTCAGTATAAGAGGTTTTTGATAAAGTCAGGGTTAAGATCCTGGCACTTATATCAAGGTCAAGGTCATTGGTCAAAGGAAGGCAATAACAAGGTCATTGCATAAGGGTTATACTTAGATAAGGTCAAACTCCAAGTAAGTTGACAAAAGGCTTAATGGTAACAGCTGTGGTAATGCTGAGGTCACCATTGCTTGAGGTCAAAGTTCAGGCCATGCCAAGGTCACAGTAGGTGTCAAAAGTTGTTGAATGACATGGCCACAGTAAGGAATCAGAGGTAAAGTGAAATGTTCTTTTTCATGCCTTTTCACACCTTTCAGCTTCAATGTCACAGTTAATTGCAATTTTCCTTACCATGTTAATTGTGATCCCTAAAAGGAGTTAGTGAGAGATACCGAATGCTGCCAATGCTTTAATTAGTTGTATGTCATATTGTACCTGTGAGATTTTTGTTCAAAGCATTCCACACCACCAGTTTGAGTAAACACACTGTGCACAATATGAAACACTAGTAAAGATAGATTTTTATTTGTTACTTTTGTTCAACATAGGTTCTTCTCTTTTTCTGTCTTTCTTATTTAACACTTCTTTTTTAATTTTTCATTAGCCTCTCCCCCCACCCCACCCCCACCAATCTCCAAGGAAGGGGGAAAATTGCTAAACCGAATGCTTGATTGTGTGCTATTCCTGCTACTGTCAGTATTTTGCTCACTGTAATGAGCCCCATGAGCCTAACAGCTGCTTTGTCTAAATCTACATTATTGCCTATTTCTCAAAATCCCAATAACAGCAGCTGTAAGTTGTGAACAATTTGTGTCTTCAGTATAAATGGCTTTTGTTATGGTTTCCTTGCAAAGTACACAAAAAAAAATATATATATATATATAATAGTAATGAATTCTGGACATCTGATAAAGTTCCGTATTGCAGCCAGGATATTGCAATAGATCAGGTTTGAAGATTGAAAAGGACTTTTCTATTTATTCCATTCAATAGGAGAGGTCCAGGCTCTGTTTGTTCCATGAAAATAGGAGAGGCCCAGGCTCTGTTTGTTCCAGTAAAGAGGAGAGGCCCAGGCTCAGTTTATTCTATTAAATAGGAGGGGTTCAGGCTCTGTCTAATGCATGATATAGGAGAGGTCCAGGCTCTGTCTAATCCATGATATAGGAGAGGTCCAGGCTCAGTCTAATCCCTGATATAGGCGAGGTCCAGGCTCTGTTTGTTCCATGAAAATAGGAGAGGCCCAGGCTCTGTTTGTTCCAGTAAATAGGAGAGGCCCAGGCTCCGTTTGTTCCGTAAAAATAGGACAGGCCCAGGCTCTTTTTGTTCCATTAAATAGGAGAGGTCCAGGCTCAGTCTATTCTATTAAATAGGAGAGGTCCAGGCTTTAGCTAATCCATGATATAGGAGAGGTCCAGACTCTGTCTAATCCTTGATATAGGAGAGGTACAGGCTCTGTCTATTCCATGATATAGGAGAGGTCCAGGCTCTGTCTAATCCCTGATATAGGCGAGGTCCAGGCTCTGTCTAATCCATGAAATAGGAGAGGTACAGGCTCTGTCTATTCCATGATATAGGAGAGGTCCAGGCTCTGTCTAATCCATGAAATAGGAGAGGTACAGGCTCTGTCTATTCCATGATATAGGAGAAGTCCAGACTCTGTCTAATCCTTGATATAGGAGAGGTCCAGACTCTGTCTAATCCATTAAATAGGAGAGGTCCAGGCTCAACTATTCTATTAAATAGGGGAGGTCTAGGCTTTAACTAATCTAGGATATAGGAGAGGTCCAGGATCAGTTCATGCTATTGAATAAGAGAGGTCCAGACTCTGTCTATTCCAATAGATAATAGAAGTCTAGGTTCTGTCTGTTCTGTTAAATAAGAGAGGCCCACGCTCTGTCCTTGCTATTACATAAGAGAGGTCTAAACTCTGTTCTATCAGATAGGAAAATCTCCAGGCTCTGCCTGTTTCTTTGAATAGAATATTTATGATCTGAAAATTGTAAGAATGTAAATATTTTACTGGTCTTGATATTTTGTTTTTATTTTTAGTACATCATGTTTTTTTGTTGACACTATTTTGCCAGTGGAATAATTTCACAAATTAGTTACCTCCCAATAGATATAAGCTTCTTAAAAAAAATTCTTTAATGTTTGGTTCTTTGTAAACCTTCTGGTTCAAAAAATGTTAGTTTAGTTAAAATCGTCATGCATATTTTTGGTTAGATTAGGTTTACTTGGACCCGAAGCTTTGGGCATGGATGTAGTTTGACTTGATTGTAGTCAATCTAGATTAAAAGGTCAGTGTGGAGAACTGGATCATACATACTCTGTTTCAACACATAAATCTTTCAGACCAAAAATCATTCTTAAAAGAAAAGCTAATCATGACACTGTCAGAATAATCGTCTGTTACAAAATTGTCATTGAACTGAATTATTTTTTACTTCAATTAAAAATTATCAATACAAAATCAATTTTAGAAAAAATACTATACTGTCTTAACTCTTCGGCTCTCCACCCATGATCCAGTAGCAAATTTTGTATTGCTTATTTCAGAAGGATGGCAATTCTCAGGATTGAGTTTTACCATCGGTGACATTGGTTACCATTAAGGATCATGGTTATAACCTTGACCTGTTGATCTTTGTCTGATGTCCTTGACATTGGTTACTATTATGGATCATGGATATAGCCTTGACCTGTTGACCTTTGTCTAGTGTCCTTGACATTGATGTTATCCCTGACCCTTTGACCTTACTTGTCACAGGTTAGGATATCCAATCACTATGACTTCCAAGACATGGCTGGGGTGGTAGCTGTGAGCAATTGTTACACAACTACAGAATCGTACATCGACACAATCTACGACATTCATATTCAGAAGATAGGCAATAATTACAAAGCTTACATGTAAGTCTCGTCACTTTTATGTTCCCAGCTTCTCTGTACAGCTATGTTTTAAGTTTCTATTTTATTTTCATTTTTCTGTATTTCATTTATATCTTCATCAGTTGTACATAGCTTTCTTTTTTCTTTAAATAAAAAATTTCTTATTTCTTGAAATTTGTTTTTACCCAATATTTTGTTGCATTTAAATTAATGTTGTTGGCAATTTTTTGAGTTTATTTTGTTTTTTTTGTTTTAATTGAAATATAAAAGTAAATGATTTGGCAGCTTTTCGTACGATTTATTCTATTTGCTATTGTTTGTTTTCTCTTGTTATTGTTTATTTTTGTTTTGGTTGTTCTGTATGATGTGTATGAATATTATGGTGATGAATAGTGGTGCCTTGCTGAATTTGACTTACTTAAATATGTTAATTTAAAACTAATTTTGTCACAAATTTGATTTCAAAATTATTTTGTACAAATTTTCTAAGAAAAAATCTACAGCCAGGCAGCACTACTGTATCACTGTAATTGTAATGACGCTATTGTAAGTGAATATCTTGTGTGAAATATTTGTTCCGTTTTCATTTTAAAATCCTGTCTTAATTTCAACATCATAGATACAGGAAATACACTGGGGAAAATCTGTTTGTGTGAATTACTAGACGTGTAATATTTCAGGGATTTTCCGATTTCAAAAAATGTTTTATAATCGTTTTTATAGATATATTGGTAATTGTTTTATTAGAAAAATAAGATTTTATTTTTATTTTAAAATCAGACCTGTATATTTCATTTTGGCCTCCTTTTCACACAAGAAATAATGCATTCTGAATTTAAATTTTCCGCAAAAATTTTACTTGCATACTTGCTTTGTGAAATTTTAACACATTCATGTGAAAGTTTTTTAATTCTTAAAACGTTTTGCTTCTTTTTTGTGGTTTTTTTTTTTTTTTCATGACTTACATGTAAGTCTTAGAAATTTTCATTTTTGAGATTGGAAGTTAAATCAATATAGCTCAAATGATCACAGTTTGTCTAGTCATACCTTCTCTCCAGAAGTTTTTTTCTTAAAAATGAAAAAAAAAAAAAGAAAAAAAACTTAAAATCTCAGTAATCGGATCACAGAGCATTACTTTGAAAAGAATTGTTTTTGAAGTTAAAAAGTGATTGACAGACCTTGGTGGTTATGTAAATAGGAATGACAATGTATCTATAGGTATTTTGATGTAATAATGCCTTATCTAACCTGCAGTATAAAGCTACAGGATAACCAGACTCAATATTGGGGTTATAGGGGGTAGCTAGAGTTGGTGGTATTTCTACTCTACTACAATGAATAATTATAGGTTACTTATAATGTACATGGATGGTGAATGTTTTATGTAAAATTCACGATAAGAGAAATCTGTTGAAAGCCTTGCAGCAAATCCTGATATCACTAACTGCAGTTTTTATAACAAGTGTTATGGGTATCCCAGCAATTTACCTAATCTTTCAGAATTTTATTATAGGCAAAAAGTTTGTGCCCACATTCAGACAACATGTGCGCCTTTATCTGGAGCAACAAGAATGATTATCAATTTTTTATTTTTCATTTTCGAAATGGTTGTACTGTAACATGGTTGATAAAAAGTTAAACGTTTCAGAACTTAATTCATGGAAACTTAGTGGCATCAACTAGCATAACCTGTCTTCTGCAGAATTTATTTTCATTCGCACATAATTACAAAAAATATGTCAATGTTCCCTCCAAATTATAGCGTCATATTGATTGTTCAGTTTCTGGCTTTGTTTTACTTGAGGCACATAGATTTGACTGTTGCTCTATCAGGGTAATTCCCATACTTATCAGCCAATAAGCCCAGTTTGTCTCATAATAAGCCCACCCAGGACTATTCCTGTTTAGAAGGATTACCAACAAGTGCTATTTCATTGGCTTGTAATAAGCTTGCCCTCTAATTTTGAGTTAGAGTGCTAAGGTTTTTGAGTGCTGAGCATAGAAATGGATAAATTTAGTACATGTACTATCACAATTTGTATAGACGATGTCCACAAGTATGAATGATTATAAGGTTTGTTTGTTAAGTGATGTAAAACCTGTTGGATCCTTGGCTTATGAAGTATAAACTTGCATTTGACATGACTTGTCACATATTTTCAAATAAATTTCTAATACCTGGTAAATAAATTTACCTGTGTAGAGAGAATCTAGCAAAATCTACTGAAACAATGTAGTTATTGAATCTATATAATGGCCTGGGTATTAAATAAATCTATTTGTGCTCCTTTGAATGGTGTCTCTCTGTTTCTCTCTTCTTTCTCTCAACTTCTCTTTCTCCCTCTCTCTCTTCTTTCTCTCTCTCTCTTTCTCTCTACTTCTCTCTACTTTCTCCCTCTCCCTCTGTCTCTCCTTTCTCTCTCTCTCTGTGCTCTCTCCCTCTCTCTCTCTCTCTCTCTCTCTCTCTCTCTCTCTCTCTCTCTCTCTCTCTCTCTACTTTCTCCTTCTGTCTGTCTGTCTGTCTGTCTGTCTTTCTCTCTGTCTGTCTGTCTCTCTCTCTCTGTCTCTCTCTCCCTTTCTGTCTTTCTCTCTACTTCTCTCTCTACTTTCTCCCTCTCCCTCTCTCTCTCCTTTCTCTCTCTCTCTCTGTGCTCTTTCCCTCTCTCTCTCTCTCTACTTTCTCCTTCTGTCTGTCTGTGTCTGTCTGTTTGTCTCTCTCTGTGTCTTTCTCTGTGTCTGTGTCTATCTCTCTCTGTCTCTTTCTGTCTATTTCTCCCTTTCTGTCTTTCTCTCTACTTCTCTCTCTACTTTCTCCCTCTCTCTCTCTCTCTAAATATCGACAATATGGTCCAATATTGGTACTGGATCCTAACAAGCATATGTTCTTTGGATACTTATTACTGGAATAGATATATGATCAATGAAGTAATAATGGCAGTACAGACAAGTAAATTGTCAGATTTTGGAGGCAACTTGCCCCTTCATCAAGACACAAATCTTACCTAAACTACATCACACACACAACACATAAAACAGACACAAATATCGAGAAGGTAAGTGTTAATTTAAGTGTCTCGATAATCCCTTTGGCCAATGGATGCTGGAGGCCCTTTATAAGGGGCAAAACACCATCTTGAGTTGTTTTATATAAGATGGTGATTCAAATATGAAATATTTGACAATTCATATGTCTATAGTGCCGTTATTACTTTATTGATCATATATATATATATATATATATGCATATATTTATATAAACAGGTTTAAATGATTTGTAAATCTGAGGGTTTGTACTTCTCTAGAACTTCTCTGTAAAAACATAAGTAAGCTGTACATACTGTGGTTCTCAGGAACTCAACTCAAGGTAAGGTGTGAACAGGAAAGCAGGAGACAGAAACGTTCAGAAAATTTGGTGGAGGACCACCCAGTAAAACTCCTAACCTTACCTATTTGTAACCTGATAACAAAGTGGGCCGACATTCTGTGTTGTTAACTTTCTTTCTGATCAGGGATCGTTATTTGCCCCTTAATTTAATTTTAGAATTCTTTCATGCATTTTTTTTCATCCTTTAGAATCGAAAGATTTTTGAACGGAAAAAAAAGCATTTAAACTCGGCTGCAGTTGTTGATAACAGATTTCAGATGTAGACTTTTACTTCAGTTAACAAGACTTAAATATAAATTCTAAATTTTTATTGATTAATGTATTGATATCAAATTACACCTTTTTATCATCACAAAAATATTCATGTTTTTTTCAAATATTTAAGATTTCTAAAAAGTTTTAAAATTAATTTGTGGTTGGTGGATTTCACTTGTAAATCAGAGACCATTGAAGTTTTCCTTTTCTTTTGAAAAAAAAAAAAAAAAACAGAAATTTTTTTTTGTTGAAGAATTTAAGAACCTTTATCATAAAGTTGAATGTGATCTGCATGATGCAAAAGTGGTTGTAGGAGAACAAGTGATAACAGTTTTTCATTTATTGCTTCTGTTTTCAATTCAAGTTGACATATCTTTTCACAATTTGCTGTTGACTTCTGTGGAATTGTGAAGACAGTAATATTAGGTGTTCCTACTACCTCTGGAGATAATACAAAAACATGTTGTGAAAAAAAAAAACATTTGTTTATCATCCATCAAAGTCCAGAATGATTACATCTTGGGAGTTTGAAACAATACACTTTAAAATCAATTAAACCAACAAATATTCAGAAAGTGATACTTGACTGAAGTTAGAAAGGTTTTTTGTTAGGCTGTTTGTTAGTAACGCAAAGCATTTAAATGTTCGACAGAAAATTCCAGGTCTCCAGAGTGCAAAGTAATCAGTTGCTAAACTCGCTCAAACTCAACCAAAAATTTGTCTCACGTTTTACAGAAATTTGTTGAATTAAATAAGTGTGTGAAACGTTTTACACGATTTTAATCTATAGACTAAGAGATCTGTGCAAGGCTGGGGAGAGGTTTTCATACCACAAATGTCATGTGGTATGTTAAATTAAGATTTATTACATATTGATTGGGAAAAAAACTAGATTTTTGTGGTTTTTTGTTGATAGGGGTATTGTTATGGTTTTTGATGAGAATGGTTTGTGTGTAGGTCAAATGGGTTTCTACCTAACGTCTTACACAATCCCACAGTATCGACTCACAAATACCTGATAATTACTAAACAAAAGAAGGGATTTCTTTAATTGATAAAGAAAATTTCATACTTACCTGAAATATCACAAAGTTCTGCGACCTCTGATAAGTGAGGCTAGCTTTCTTCATTCATACTTCGTGCAGCGATGGCTCAGTCTCTGGAATGTTAGCCTGCATAATTGGTTCAGTCTGCTGATATCCTTGGGTCCGTAAACAATAGTTTACACTCATCAGATGTGTTAAACAAATGTTTCAAGGCATGTCCATAGAAAAAAATTCCTTATTTCCTTGAGTAGGAAGTGTAAGATTAGTCCTTAATCTCAAAAAAAGTATATTTTGTGCAAACGTTAATGACGTAATCTTCTAAAAATCATTTTACT